CGATTTGCCTATACACTGAACTCGCAGAGCCCATCTGATAACAAGTCAGACTTTTTTCCTTCCAGACAAGTTTGGATACCAATTAGCCGACCTCAGAGAGTGGAAGGCTGTGTTTTCCCTGGAAGGCGCACTACAGGATTTGATCCCTGAGCGTGCGCAATGGTGAGCAGCGCCACTTACCACTATTCTACTTTCGCCCTTACCAGCACTTTCAAAAAAGAACAATAATCAACAAATAAAGGAGTGAATAAATAAGCAATTAACTAGAAATAAACCAAACCCATAACGCGGCAGGACTCGTCTGCAGTAGAACGACTTTTCAGCACAGCGTGTAGGTAGTCACCGTAATCCATGTTGGCGCTAGGGCGCGCAATGTCACAGTCATCGAATTCCAGAGCGCCGTATTGTGGCTTTTTTCTGCGCACCTACTGTGGCGAGAAATGGGCGCCCACGTTTTACGGGCCACTCGAACTCGGTCTCTTAGAAAGCGCCAATGAGATGCCCTCGTCAACGCTTCCTCGCCTAAATAGTCTCGTGGCCACTGTACCCAAAGTACGAGCCTACCCCCTCCCCCGCACACCCTCACCCTCTGATCCCCTGCATTCCCCTAGTTCATAGATTTTCTTTTTGGCAACGTTTGAAGCTGAAATTATATCTGCCCTCTACTCGTCCTCTAACATTTCCATCAGAGAACATGGGGGGGGGGAGTTCAAGTTGCCATGTTGCCGCGTGTTTACAGTACAACTCGTTCTCACTGCAAGAGGTGGAATTTCCCATATACTGGAAACACTTCATTCTAAAGGCCGATGTCATAGTTTGCGAATCGGGCGATTCGCTCGATCCGAGCGTTGCGCCGGCGGAATCGAACGTTGCACCAGCGAATCAAACTTGAAAGTGGCGGGCTTCCTTTGAACGTTGGGTCCCGCCACTATTGAGTCGCTGGTACATCGTTCGACTCGCTGGTACATAGTTCGATTCGCTGGTGCAAAGTTCGTTCGATTCGCTGGCGCAACGCTCGGATCCAGCGATTCGCTAGCGAATCGCTCGATTCGCAAACTATGACTACGGCAAAAATCATATCAGTGATCAACCCGGAGAGCAACTTAAAAAGCTTGTGTGAAACGGGAAATGTTATAATTTTGCGTGCACATATGCATTTGCTGTAGTGACTGTGCAGCATATTTTTCCCGCGTCAAGGATGGGTGTATAAAGCTCCAAGCATTCTGAACACATCCCCCATTCTCGACCATGAGGACTGCATCATCAACCAGAGTAGGGACGCTGAGTTTTCGAGTTCCACCCTGGCCGAGTACTGCTGCCCACGGCTTCTGGTGAAGAATCATTCGAAGCTTCATTGGTTTTTCGCAAGTTCCTCATTTTCGCTTCCGAACCAGGACAGCAGTAGCTGAATGTGGGACTGACGCAACTGGAAGTGAAGGCATATTATTTTGTAAAAAAAAACGAAAAAGTGATATTTAGGTTTAGAAAGCGAGAAGAAAAAAAAACTTTGTCAGCCTGGGCGCGAAAAGAGCAATGGTCCTTACACGAAAAAGTGGAATCGCGGTCTACACGATTTGGGCGCATAAGCTTGTCACGGTAGCTTTGAAGTGGGTTTCTAAGAAACCAGTCGGCGTATCCACCTCTCTCACAGCTTCCCTGGAGAGCTCGTTAAGAGAAAGTGAAGTAGGCATCGTCCAACCCATTACCATAATTTTAAGACGACTTTTTGAAAAACGGTAATTTATCTTATAGCTGTGTTAACCCTGTTTGTGCAGTGTAGCAGTGTTCACACTTCCAAGCGATTTTGGTTTTGCGAATCAAGTTTCAAAAGCTAAATGGGTGAAGTTATGTATTTGATTACAGCAGAGGTGGATGTGGCATGGCAAATGGCGCCACTTTCCACGCGCACGGTGCTGAGTTCGAATCTCAGATTGAAAGCCCGGGACAACCGAGTCTTTGATCCCTTTGGATGCAAGTATACGGCTGTCTGGGAGGGGTATTACCGCGATATGTACATCGGCTGGTTCACCAAGCGACTATTTTGGCCACCGCATTCAATCCCACTACGATTCCAGAAGGAAGTAGAAGTCGTGGCGCATTCTCGAAGGGAAGTAGCAGTGTTGAAGTTTTGAGCTTCATCTTCTGGGGGGAACAGATCGAGCTTCATCTTCTGGAAAGAGATCAGAGTTCGAGAAGGGGCCCGAGGTTCTGAGAATAGAAGTGCTGTTTTCTGTATTTGAAGTTGTGGAGAGAGTCCTGAGGGTCCACTAGGTTTATTTCAGCAATTTATCGTTTTCGGGCTGAATCTACTAATACCTGATACCACTGGATCTACGCGTTGATCTTCCGTTTTTCTTATCTTGCTTATCTGTTCGAATCTCCGGAAACATCTTTTTTATAACGGCGCATATGATCTGGTGCAAATTCGTTTCTTAGCCGTTTGTGTTAAGGTTTGGGTGATCTTTCCAGAATGCGCCTCATATTCCACCTCATTCAGAGATTTCAGACATCGGGAATGATAATTCGGTTGACGGTCAAAAATTAAATTTAAGGTTCTGAGTGGTAAGGCAGGGAAAAGCTAAGGAAAATGACCTCAATCCCGTGAAGAGGGACATTTGCTTTTGACCACCGTTTCGAGCGCCGGACCGAATGGGTAGCAGATCATGAAGGAAGGACCATGCGCTCGGCTCCTCAGTGCGCAGATGGGAACAGTAGCTAGCTGATTGTGAGACCGTCATCTTGAGACAAAGTGAGCCTCGAGAAAGAAGTGTATTTAGAACGCGTAGAACAATGTTGAGGCGCTTCAAACGCGCTACATATCTTGGGGCTTAGGTCCGAGTTCGAATCCCTGCTACAGCAAAACGCTACTATAAATAAGCGTTCTCGTGACTGTATCCGAAGGATTGGTTGATTACGTAGCCATAGAAATGAGCAGAATTTCTGGTAGGTCTTATATGTATTCCTCTTGGGAAAGGATTATTTCTCTATGAATGAATGAAGGAACAAAGGTCTTCTATGGTATGCGGATCTTCATTTCCACAATTCCAGTTTATCGTGGCCGCTGCCTTTAAGTCAGTTCTATGTTGACCCCCCCTTCCCGCTGAGTGAAAATCAAGCTCAGAACAGATCCATGCTTGAGTCATCCACTAGAATAGTGAGACTGTAGATGTAAATAGAATAAAACAACTCCATGAAAAGGACCTTCAGACACAGAATCTGACTACCGAGTTTTTGCTGGAAATTGCTCTACGCTTTCTTCATTTTCCAACACATGCCGCAACTTACACTTCATAAGTTGCCCTCGTATGCTTTGGTCATTGACGCTGGTCCATGTAAGCTGAGAATATTGTTGCTGGAACGGCTCCTCTGGGAACGGGTTGATCAGTCCTTCAACTCGAGGGGTGTCTGCTGTTACGGGTCATTGACGGGCTCTGAAAAGGAGATCTGACAATAAAGACTTCGTGACTGGATACGTGGAGGTAGAACCTACACTAAGGACTTTGTACTGAGGTGGAACCGATATCTGTACATCCAGTAGACCAAGGCTTTCCATGTAGTTGAACTTTCTGTCAATATCAATCGCGTACGACTCTCTCACTCGAAGTCCAATCTGTGCCTCGTCCAGCACCACGTAGATTTCCGACTGGCCCTTCTCTACGTTATTCACGTAAACAGTTACTCCTGAAATCGATAACTGATCATAAATCACGACGATTGGAGGGCGGTGCGGTTTTGATGACGTCACAGAACGTCACTGGTGGACGAGTTCCCTCAACGCCTGGAGGTGGAGTTGGGAGCAGCGTCAACCGTCACCTTCGTGATTTTTCAGAAATTTTGCGATCCCCCCCTCTTTAGGGGAGTCTCAATCCGACCCCTCACCATAGCCATCAATCTTAGGAGGCTCCTTCAAAACAATCCCCCTTCCCCCTTCGACTACCACCCTCACCATCTTGTCTGTTCCTTTAGTATTTGATACTGAGACTAGTCAAAACAGAGCCCAACTCGGTCCACCTTTTTTGGGGGAGGGGGAGGGGCATAATTGGTATCTGTGAGAGCAATCCATCAATTTTTTGTCGTGATCCTCACTACTCTTTTTTTTTAACTTGCACCTAAATCGCAGCAAATAACCCGTCCCTACACCATCCCCCCTTAACGATCTTCGTCTATTTCTGTTCCCACAAGGATAACCTTGCTCAATCCCGAAATGCTGCCCACCCTCTTTTTCCCAGCGGAAATCACAAATGAGACCTTACCTCGTTTCGCATGGTGTGAATAGACATTGACCCTGATTGGGACCCTACCGACCTCGTGCCACCTTCCCCATTGAACGCTGAGACGTCATAAAACAACACTGCTGTCGCCAGCTATAAATTCTGTCCTTAACGCGCTGAATGCACCACAAAACAAAAGTAATCCCGAAACTCGAATCTCAGAACTCCTCAAATTTGGAAGCTCGACTCACCCCGAAACCCGTTGAACTTGTGGGCATATTGTCGAAGTACCGTACCACGTTTCCAACAATAATCGACGTCTTGTAGCGCTGTCTGTAGGTGTCCTTGCGCAATACGATATGCACTCTGCAAGTTTGAAGAGAATATTCGGAAAGACTCACCTCACATAATCAGGGCAACCTCTCACCCTACCATACACTGTGGATTCCCATAAATTAGCCCCCTTTTCACGAAAATTTAAGTAAGCCCCTCCGACTATCGCAAGATACGGACATTGTAAGGATATACTTACCCCATATTCTTTTTGTCGTAAACGATTTTGAGGAGGCAGGGGAGGAGAGCCTTCAAGGTGCAGGAAGCGATTTCATTTCCCCGAAGTTCCTGCCCTCACCAAAGACAGTTCTACAAGCATGCCCCCCGTATCTTGCCATAGCGCCTACGCCCGCACACCTCTCGCGCGATGAGTCTTCGACCTCACTTCATTTTTACTATCAGGTCTGATAAAAACTTTGGCCAAGGAGAGGGATCAGGCGGTTGAAAAATCGTTAGTATTTCTCAATTAATCTGGAATGTTGTGTGGGACATCCATACACCCCGGTACGATTCCTCTTTGTCTATATAATTTAGTATTATTCAATGTTGATTTAGTGCTTGCTTCATCTACCCTGTGTGTAAGAGCGCGTCATTGGGCGCATAAATAAATAAATAAAAGGTGGAAATTTTTGATGACCGAGCGTCACCAAGATGATTGACGTAAAGGGACGAAACGAGTGTGATAGCCTTCGCGTTAATTCCCAACACTAAGCCTGCAGGATACCACAAAAAACACAAGTTTTTCACTTTAACAGGAGAAAAATAAGGGGATAACATCCATCAATCCCGCTCACAAATGCGCCACGCATTCTACTTCCATTTAGAATCGTACATAGTGGCAATTTGGTTAGAGCTTGGTCTATACAATGGGCCAGCTGATGTCAAGTCAGTGTTTTTATCCTCCCAGACAAGTCTGGTACCAATTAACCGACCCCGGAGGGATGGAAGGCTTGGTTGGCCCGGGCGACTCACGACCCAGGATTTGATCCCCGGACCGCTCGCGTGGTAAGCGCGCCACTTGCCACTACACCTTTTCCGCTCTCGTTTACTTCAATACGATACATAGCCACCTGTCAGCCGACTCCGATGAAAGCACAACTCCGGTGATGACGGTGGCATTTGTCGGCTGTACGAGATCCCGCTGAGCGATGTTCAGAGCACCTAAAATAATGCTGCTTAATGGCCACCCAAAGTTTGAGTCCAGTAAACCAGAGAAAAACGCCTTAGAACCCACCAAAATCGACACTTCGATCTGGGAATCGCTCCATGCGTACTTGAATCTGCACTTCAGGCGTGGAGCTTGTTCTATGCGAGTGCAAAAGTGTGAAGATGCCTGGCTCGTTGAAGATGAAATTCCGATTGTTCAACGTCGACACGATACCAGCACCGAGGATTGAACCTGAACAGATACATTCAACCATTGTGAGGGTGTCTTTACAAAAATCTTCCGTAGTTAAGGAACTTTCGCGAAAATAATCGTCCTACCACTGACGGCGGGTTCGTAAGCTTGACAAGCACTGGATGGCCGTCTCCAGTAGAACAGCTGGCAGCGGAAATCGGCAAATTTACAGCATAGGTAGTATGGCATTATGTCGTGGTGGAATGTTGACAGACCGGGAACCTGTGCAGGAAAGGATTCCATGTTTAGTTACGTTACTGATTGATAACAAGGTGCACACACTTTTCTTTTTTTTTTATCTTTTTTTTTTCAGCTGCCTTTTCGCGAACTGATAGGATTTCTATTTGGAATGATCCGTTATTCCTTATTGAGCGCGTCCACTGGACGTTGCAAATAAATAATATAATTACTTAAACATGCCTGACTGGGCACTGCCCAACCTCGGAACGCTCGAAGTTGGCACGCTGGCGAGGACGGGTGTACTCTCGTCAATCTGAACGTTAACCTCGGACAGATTATTAATTTGAGGATGTCTAATTGTTCAAGCTTTCATCTTCCGACTTTATTTCGCCATGTTGTATTTCGCTCAATCCAACTGTGCGAATGAGAGCTTCGCGCATTGATCGAACATGGTAGGCTTGTCTGAGAAGGGGCTAAGGGACATTCCCATTTGTTTCGAAGGTTTTTCCTTCGGTTTGCAAACGGGTAAGGACTCGACTGCGGGATTGCATTCACCGGCATGTGATGAAGGAGTTGGAATGCTTTTTGCCCCCCCCCCAAATTACAATCCGGGTTTTGCGATGCGCACGTTCTGATCATTCACGCCGGAGGGATGGATGGGTTTGGTTGGTCCCGGACGAAGCACGACCCGGAGTCGATCCCGGACGCGGTGGCGTGGCATTTGCTCCGACACCTTTTGACCAGATCCTTGGTACATAAATATCGAAAACACAATACCTTCACGACAGGTTGATAAGTAGATTGCATGAGGAAGCCTTGCGCATCGTAGCAACAGGTCTGTCCATAATGAGTGGAATACGCACTGAAAAGGAATGGCCTTTGATGAGGAAAACTGCAGAAAGGCCAGCAGTCGGAATGACGTACCTTCTCCTGCTCACGGCCTTCGTAGTTCATGCGATACGTCGAACCGCGTACATTCTGCGCCGACATGTAGCAGTTCATGGAACCGAGTGTTTCCGTACAGGAGACGTCACGGAAGAGCTGAATTTCAATTATAAGCCTCTAAAAGCATGTTGAAGGTAAACGCTAGTAGCTTGATTCAGAATAGAGATAGCACTTTGAGAATCCACAAAACGTTGGATAATAAAGTAAAAATTGACTTCAGGAAATGAGAGCCCGGTACAAGGTGGGTGTCCGCATACGACACGACTTATCCTCAATCTCGTGTTAAATCCGCTTTTGAGTCGATCTTGATGAATTGATGCGAAAGAACTCACCCCGCCCCGAGACATCACCCAAACGCTCTCCCCAGGATCAGATTGGTGTGGTTAATGATCACGAAAATAGAAGCACTGGCGCAAAATGCGCCGTTAGTGAGGAAAAAAGGAAGAGACCCTGTCAAAAACGCTAAAAGAGCTTGCTCACTTTTTTGCTAAGGCAATGAGAGACTGAGCACGGAGGAGAGAGGAGAAGTAAGAGAGTACGATAGATGGGAAGATGTCAGAGAACGGAAGATGAGAATGAGGAAAAATTGAAGCGGTCGAATTTAACCAGCAAGGCCGTGGCGCCTTTGTAGCCGGGGGAAAGGGTGCCACTTCAGTGAACAGCTTCATTTCAGCCCGCCGAAGCTCGATCCACCTGAACTCGTCCCAGGTTGTGTTGGTTAACCCCTCAATCCTCCGAGAGCTACTGAATGGTGTCATATGAAGCTTAGGAAGGTGAAAACACCGACTCTGTTCAGAATGAAAATAGAATATGTGTGCCGGTTCCAAATAGGATTGCCTCGCGATTGCTCCACTCTGATTCCCGCCTTTTACTGGCACTCACCGCACTGCATCTAGGATGAGGCATGAATCGCCCAAGATCCATTTTTGCCTGCTCCTCCTTGCATGGACAGCTGGAATTCGTCTCTGTCTCGCGGATGAAATTTGACAGTGCTCCATCCTCGTTGAACCATTCGTGGCACATTTCACGCGACTGCAAGAGCTCTTGATTAAAAGACACCCAAATGGTGGTTTGTTTAGGTAGCAGTCACGGAATAGTCAGTCATTCACAAATAACACTTAACTTCGTCCCGGCTTTTCTGCCCCAATAAATGCCAGCCACAATAAATGGCCTCTTATTCAGCAAATTATTATGCTTTCCACAACAGCGCTAACATTCTAGCCCTTACGAAAAAGTTACAATGTGGGTACGGTAGGAAACTGAATTGGCGTGCAAGTCAAATCTGTGATTCCATAGCTGCCATGCCCGCACGACTCGCTTCAGGGGCCGTATGCTGAATGTTGGGTAGGGGCTGGGGTCCCCGACCCGCGATGCTGAATGTTGGGGCTCCCAGCAGAGTTTCGTCGCGGGACCAGGCGGCCACTGACCGGTCCTTTGATTTTACGATTACCTTTTCACCTTTTCCCTGTTTTATATTGTAAATTTGTCCACGTATATACAGCTATATTGTTGTAATTGCGTTAGTATATCCTTTGATTCATTTATATGCTGGATCGTTCGTGTACGTCTAGCTATATTGCCATAATCTTGCCAGTCTGTCAATTCACTACTTTAGACTGAAGTTTGGTTCGCGCCTTCTATTACTTCGTGTCATATTGGTGTATTACTTCAATATGGCAATGTGTGCGTGGACGAATCTGTAATCTAGAACAGTGAAAAGACAAAAACTTCATCACAGAATTAAAGGACTGGCCAGTCACCTGTAGGTCCCGCGACGAAACTCTGCTGGGAGCCCCAACATTCAGCATCGCGGGTCGGGGACCCCAGCCCCTACCCAACATTCAGCATACGGCCCCAGAAAACCATAAGCGCATCGAATGCAGACTACACACCACAAGACGACCGGCCCACAAGTTGTAAACGTTTTCTGCCAATGGAATGATTACCCTGTTGCAGGTGAATTTTACTAGTTGTCACTAATCAAAATTCCCATTTAGCAACTATCAACTGTACTATGATCACTTAGTTTACCAGCATTACGTTAAAAGTCGTCGTCACATTGGTGTGTGTTCTGCCTCCGACGTGGGTCCCTGGGGTCTAATAACAGAAGGTACTATAGGTTTTTCTTCCAGGATCGGAGCTCCGGTTTTCATTCTCGTATGTATTGTTCTTAATTTCATAAAAGCTATTCTTCGAATGGAAGCTTTTCTTGCCTCGTTCTGGCCCAAGTCTTTACCCTAATAGCTGACAGTATTCCGGGCAGTATGAAAGGAAGGGCTGACTCAATGAGAGTCTAGGAAGGGCCGGCTTAAACCCCGCGCCCATACGTCCAGGGCACCATATATGTTCCAACCAGTTTGCTCTGCTTAGTGGACCCCTTACCGAAATTACGTTGCTTTTTTGTGCGCAATAACCCCTATTTATTCAATCCTGGAATGCGCCTTTAACGACTATGCACCTACCTTCTCTTTGACGAACGCAAGCTTCTCCTGCCTGTCCTGCTTATTCCCTTGAAATTCTCCTTCCGGTGGTAACGTCCAAAGCCAGTGCAGTGAAATTGGAGCGGATATCATTCTAAACTTGAAAAGACGGCATAATTTAATAATCAAATAACTACTGTCGAGTGAGAATATTTTCAATCGAATAGTTTTTTAAGGGATAATTTAAGTAAAGAAAACAAATCTTCTGTCTTTGACGGCACAATTTTGGTGACTGAATGCTCAAACTCTTCACTTAATTGATATAATTCAAACTGCCGCTATCTTATAACAGCTTTTAGATTGGTCTCTAGTCTAGATGTACTTGACTTTTAATTTGTTTATTTATTTATTCAACTAATATGCTTCGAAAGAAGTATGAACTAACCCTTCAGGGAGATCCAAAATCCTCCCTCTTTCGGTTGATGTTTGAGTTTCCGCTTGTACCATGGGAGCCAGCTTGAGGTAGCCGAACCTGACCACAAAACATCTATACTTGTCCATCAATATGATTTCTGCCAGAGAAAAGGATTATTATACGACGTTGGCAGCCAAGTCCAATTGTCTAGGCCCGCCCCAAGGAAAAGACACACAATTCCTGCAGAAGGTATACTGCTTTGAAATAATTATTGAACACATTCTTCAACGTCATTTAGATAAAGGATTTTCAAATGAACTCAGGTGGATCAGTTCCTTCGAAAGGAAGGATAGAGTCGTCCAGAAGGTCACAAGAATCCCGTTCAAGTAATACAGTCTCTCAATACGGCCAGTCTGGGAGTGAAAAGGTGATTGGTCCGATGCGGATGATTCTGACGATTTTGGCGATTGTAAGAGTCGGGCTTAGTCATACAATCATTCGATAGATTTCTTACTGTAGGCTGAGAACTACTCCGCTGATTCAAGCTGATTACAGGAGGCGGAGACGGAGTCGAGGGCGAGGACGGTATTCGAGCGGCGAGGACGACACGACGGCGGCGGTGGACAACGGGACGGTCAAGCGAGGACGCGACACTAGCTGGCTGATACCACCAGGCCTCGGGTCCGAAGAGGCCCGGACAAGACTCCGGGCCTCTTCGGACCCGAGGCCTGGTGGTAGACTCTCTATCTGCATTCCCTACTGTGCTGTCGTATTTACTCGCTGATAAACTCATCCGCTCCCAAACTGTATTCTCTGAGTTACGAAGGGGGTAAAACCCCGGAGTATTGCTCGATGCCGTCCACTGCTTGTAGCACAGAGGGTCATATTTATGACTTCAGCGTCAGTCACGGGAGCCTTGACCTTCGTGCTGCAGTGTGCATGAAGAATTTCCTACTTTTTATTCTCAAGAGCAAACACACCTATATGTGAATAGCTCTTCGTGCATTTCATATCGGCTGAGATACCACTCGTCCACCCGGTCCCATTGATAGCTCTCGATATTGGATTCCAACGATGTCGCTCTTTATCGACCCGATTACTGATTGAGTCGCCAATCTGAAAAAATTGCAATACCTCTCGCATTCCTCTTGATAGACAGAAAATTGTGTTGTTGCGCCTAGAGGCATCGTTGAAAAACACTGCGAGGTTGGTGCAATAACTCTGTTATCTACTCTGACTACACAAGAAAAAAGTCATCTTCAACGAGAATATTCGATGAAAAACTTAATGGCATTCCCCAGAATCGAATTGGTATGAATCTTGCACACGAAACGTAGTGATGCGAAATGGGCCGGCAGTTAAGAAAAAAGGAAGAGTTCGTCGAAAACACATGGGTTGAGGGCTCACTTACCTTCGTAATCCGCTCGGCTTAGAGGGCGAATGAGAGACTAAGCGCGGAGAGGAGAGTATGGGGCGAGAGAGCGCTACAGATGAGAGAGCGCCAGACAACAGCCTGATAAGAAGAAAAAAGTCTGCAGCTTGGGCAGCTTACTTTGCAAGGCCCAAGCGCTCTTGTCGGTTGGTTTCCGTGCACGAGAACGCCACATTTGTGATTGTCCTCTAGGGGTTCATACTACAGACCGAAGGAAGCGTTCACACGACCTCTGCCTGGGTTGTGCCTTTAAAACCACATTTTAGGCAGGATTTAGGTGACCATAGAAGGCCTTTCCATCACTAAAATTTCCAGGAATGCGCTCAGAGGGGTGTTGCCGCACTCCTGACTCGAGATTGCGCGCCGTCAAGGTTTCTGGCCTACAACTTATAGCGATGGGTTTGTTACATCAGCTGGTCCCGCCCACCGCGGGATGTGGTGCGTGGCTGGCCTAACGTGTGAGATCAGCTAGGTTGATTGCCGTATCAACCGATGGAATGGCTGGCATATCCGGAAAACTCGTTTGGACGTGGCTCTCCCCCGAGCAAGCCTCCTTCACTGCTAGAAGGAAGGGGTTTCGATTTAGGCCTTGTCGACGGTTTCTTTGCGTTTTTTCTTCACTGTCGTTCCACCTCCCATCTCTACACTCAATTTCAGGCGCCATAATGCCCAAACACGAGCCTGACTTTTGCCTTTTAAGGCTCTATCCAGAGAGA